TAACACTATCCCTGCAGGTGGAGCGTAAACCAAAATATAAATATATATAAAAATAATAAAATGTCCACATTCGGGAAAAATACCCCTGAACGCGGAGCGTAAACCAAAATATAAACATATATAAAAATAACAAAGCCTCCACATTTCTAACACTATCCTGCAGGTGGGGGTACCTGATGTGGATCTTGTAGTTGGAGGAGGTGGCGAACTTGAATCCGCAGCGGTCGCAGGTGTAGGGTTTCTCCTCGCCGTGGTGCATGCGCCGGTGCGCCACCAGCTGGCACTTCTGGGCGAAACATTTGTCACAGTCCGCGCAGCCGAACGGCTTTTCGCCTGTGAAAAGAAGCAAAGGCAGACTCTGGTTACCATGCCAACCGAGCACTGTCTGACCTCTGACCTCTGACCCCCGGTCGCTCCCATTTGTTCGGTGTGGTGACGTGAAAATAAACATTTCCTTTGTAAATATTTTAGTCACAAACTTTGTAATGAAAAAAGTAATCTATCTATCTAATCTTAAAAAAGAAATAAAAATATATTCACACGAAAAATATATTTATCTAAAAGAAATCTTCATCTCTATGCTTTATTTTAGGAAGAAATATAGAAGAAATGTTCTATGCTTCATTTCAAGATTAAATATAGAAGAAATCTTCTTCTAGGTTTCATTTTAAGAAGAAATATAGAAGAAGAAACTTATTTTATGCTTTATTTTAGGATGAAATATAGAATAAATTTTCTATGCTTCATTTCCAGATTAAATATATTTTAAGAGGAAATATAGAAGTCTTCTTCTATGCTTTATTTTTGAAGAAATATTTTTGTACATTTCATTTTAAAAAGAAATATAGAAGAAGTTTTCTTCTATGCTTTATTTTAAGAGGAAATATGGAAGAAATATTCTTGTGCACTTAATTTTAAGAAGAAATATAGAAGAAGTCTTCTTCTATGCTTTATTTTAAGAGGAAATATGGAAGAAGTCTACATTTTAAGAAGAAATATAGATGTCTTCTTCTATGCTTTATTTTAAGAGGAAATATGGAAGAAGTCTTAATTTCCAGATTGAATATAGAAGGAGTCTTCTTCTATGCTTAATTTTAAGAGGAAATATAGTAAAAATGTTCATGTAAGCTTCATTTTAAGTAGAAATATAGAAAAAATTTTCATGTAAGCTTCATTTTAAGCAGAAATACAGAAGTCTTAATGCTGATATGTGATACCTGGGCCCCGGCGGCTCACCTGTGTGGATGCGCAGGTGAGTCTTGAGCTGCGTGGCCTGCCTGAAGGTTTTGGAGCAGAAGATGCAGGAGAAGGGCTTCAGGCCCTTGTGGATCTTCTCGTGTCTCCGCAGGCTGCTGACGTCTTTGAACACTTTGCTGCACTCGCTGCAGGTGAGTGACAGCTCATCAGGCTCCTCCCCCTCTCCCCCCCCCCCAGGGCGGGGAGGAGGAAGAGGGGAAGGAGGGGGAGGAGCTCCGGGGGGGAGGAGGCAACCGAGGGAGCCCC